TCTACTGATGATGAAGCATAAGAAGGGCAGCAACAAAATGAAAGAGGAGAAGTGTTCGGAAATCAAGATTCTGAACAACAAGAATTTGCTCGATGCCAGAAGGAATTAACAATGCCACAGTAGAGGTTGTTTCTGAAATACGCAGAACTAATGTTGATCCCCGGAGATACTATGCTTTGTTCGGTCTCAACACTTCTACTGATGATGAAGCAGAAGAAGTGCAACAACAAAATAAAAGAGGAGAAGAGTTTGGAAATCAAGATTTTGAACAACAAGAATTTGCTCGATGCCAGAAGGAATTAACAATGCCACATTAGAGGTTGTTTTTGAAATACGCAGTAGAGGTTAGCCAATTTTTTTTGTAAGGCTTTTCTTTGTAAATAGAAATTTAACCCAAAGAGCAAAAAGTGTCCACAACTAGGAGGTTGGAGCTACTTTCATATTCAGGGACTGCAGATTCCATGGCAAAAGAGTTTGCCAGAGAGGATTCAAAGGAAACTTCAGCTGTTAAAGCAGAAGGCAACCAGATAGACAAAAAGGAAAAACAGACAGAAATTGAGAAGGCATCATAATGGAATAATTCTGATGCAGAAGAGAAGATAAATCAAAAAAGTTATTCGAAGAAAACTACGAATCAAATCCCAAAATACAAAGAAGATAAACTGTAAAAAAAATTAATGATGTGTTAATACAGAAAGACACCAGTTGAAGGTAGGAGGATCTAAGAACATGTTAATAGAGAAAGACATCATAATGTGTAAATTCTGACAATAAGAACATGTCAATGAAAGCTATACAATGCCATTCACAACAGGTAGGAGGATCTACTGACAAGTTGAAGCTAATCAGGAGGTTATAGAGGAGGAAGATCAAAGTGTTAATGATAATACTGTTAACATTGATTCAATGGCAAGAATCGAGACTGTCACACAGTCTCAAATTGAAATCAGGAGAGAGGAATATGTATCAGATGCAAATGCAGACACAATAAAGAAAAGCATCGAAACAGCTACAGCAATCACAGGATGTTCAAACGACCAAAGGAGTAAAAGCTTGGTCAATTATGCAGCAGTTGTAGCAGAACACACTCAGTCTCCCAACAGAGCAATTACTCTGTTTCGAAACAGAGAAAAGGTCAAAAACACACCTGAAGTAAAAGGTTCTGTTGTAGATAGCACTGAAGCCAGGCATGTTCTTATCGGAATTGTTAGCTTCACAGTAACATAGCAATCCAAAAAAGCATTGATATTCTAAGATTCCTGATTTCCAGCTAGTATTTATTTTATTTGCCGTAGGCTCCAAGAATCAACATAGTTGATTTCTTGAATTAACATAGTTATCACTATCACTATAGGTAGAGTAAATTGAATAGAATAGGTGGTGCTCACATCAGCATACTGAATTTGACACACTTTCATCTTACAAGCAATTATTTTCCACTACTGGCAGAGGAGAGGAAGCTATAGAGGGTATGAATCAGAGCAAAACAGGACAACTAATACAGTAGATCCAAACAAACAGGCAACCAAGGTGCAGATTGCAGCAGAGGTTACTGTTCTATTGGAAACAGTCCAATTCCAAAATGACAACAACACAGGTAACAAACAAGTGATTGATATGCAGAAGAACACAGATCTTTGGGCTACAGAATTTTCTCAATGTACTAAACATGGAGATTTATCTCCTAGGCATATTGAGCAGGTGAAATCTGCAGAAGTTTGATCAAACAATAGAAAAATTAAATAGTAGCTTGCCGAAGGATAAAGATGAGTAGTACCATGAGACGTTGAAGTATTTTCAGCAACATTAGGTATCCTTGATCTTTGTGGTACTCGTTCATGGCCACTATTGGAAGCAGGGACCTGATAAATATTAACACACCAGATAACAATACTTTTATAGGATTAATACTTCATTAATAATGTACATAACTTATAAAATCGAGTTACCTGTTCAATTGAGGTGCCATTGATATTTTGAGGCATAGATTCATTGGAAGCATATTTGCGCATCAATTGTCGCATTTCGAGTAATTTTGATTGCATCTTCTCCTGATTTTGTTTCATCAGATTTATTTCTTCGTTATGTTTATCCTTTAACTCGGTTATCTCTTGTGTTGACCTTTGGACAGCTTCATTAGACGAACCCTCTCCGACAATATTTTTTAAGGAAGATCTACTACCCCATAGACCAGAAGGAGTTGGACCAAGTCCCAAACCACGAACATATCCACTTTTGTCATTTCCGAACACCTGAGAATACACATCGCCTTCCCAAGCAACAGCGCAAGGAGGTTGGTCAGTAGAGCTCTCACTATTGTTCGTCCTTTCATTTATCATTTCCTGGTCATAAAATACATAAATCCAATTTGGAATTCATTTATTCACTTTTATATTTTTTCCTAACTATTTCCCAATTAAGAAAATAAAATAAAAAAAAATCTTACAATTGCCTTGACAGAATCATCATCCAGTGGTCTATCATCCTTACATTTTGTATGAGTTAATATGAAAACTTGTGCTCGTGTAGGCTCTATCCCATTTACAGCCTAATACAATAAAATTAATGTAAGATATATGTGGAAAAAAAAATTAAAACATTATAGTTAGTAATTTGAACAAGTTTACCTGCTCATCCATCAAGGTAGCAATACTTTTGGATCCTCCTGTGTGAGGCATCTTTTGATTGGCCCTATTATTTCTATTTTCTTGGGAACGCCTCTGTCGTTGAAATATTAAAATGATATCTTATAAATTATACATAAAAATTGAGCATCACTAAAACTAAAACACTGAAAATAATCAACTTGAGGTGTTTTAAAGATTTGTTAATACCTTAGCTTTATCCGAAAGCCAATAAGTGACAAGACCACTCCATTGATCCCTCGGTATGCGACTTGGTCTATTTTTCAGCAAAATGTGTTTAGTCTTATATTTTCGCAAATACTCACCTTTTAACTCACACTTGTAATCTTTCCATTTCTTTCCTAGTGACTTTAGGACATAAGCTTCTCCTCGTCTTGGGATAGAGAACTTCTTCTAAAAAAAATAAAGCTGATCTTTAGAAAAAAATATCATGTTTAAAAGATTGAACTCATTCATATAATAATAATAATAATAAATAAACAAACAAATAAATAAATAATAATAACTACTCCATACCCTCACAAAATCAACCAATTTCTTCTTTTCCTCCTTGTAAAAATTTCTCCAATCATCTACATGTAAAGGTGTTAGTTCTGGAGTTCTCGTAATGATTCCTAGACAGCTAGCAAGCTTTTGACCTTTTTCCCCAATAGCTTGGTTACGATTATTAAACGGCACATCAACTACCTTCCGCGGAGGAAGTTTCCAAAATATCTTTTAGTAAAGTAGGCCCACGAACCTTTCTTGGCTCCAAATTACCTAGAATAGAAGATTCAAAGGTCATCAAATGGCAAAACCTTATATGGTTAAATCTGTTAAATAACATTATAATGATCTGATAGTTATATGATTGTTTGATGATTGGTAAAATAAAGAAAATTTTCAGCGCAGAGTTTCAGTCAATGGAGGCCATTCTGCTCACTCGAGATCCATTCTGTACATGATCAACAACAGTCCCATTCCTAGTGCTACAACCTCCAGGAAAATGCCTTTGGAAAAATACAACAAGCACAGCAGCAACAAAGCAACAACACACAGATGCAACTGGTTCCAAACTCCTGCTTCAGACCTGCTTCCCAACAGCAGGTCCTTTTTTGCAATCACCTGCAGATTCGGATGCAGCAAATTGGTATACAGGTGCTGCTGACCAGTTCTAAGGGCCAAGACCTAGCCCAGCTCCTAACCAATTCAGTCACAGCAACTGGTGAGCAGCAGCAGCAGGACATAACGTACTAGCTATCACTTTGGAGGACAGGAATTTGCTCGATGCCTTAGTAAGTTCCAAACCACTAAACTCTATATGCGAGATATGGATTCTGAACCTTAGCTAAAAGATGGAGATGAAATTCAGGAGATCCAGAAGCCTGGGATTTTATCGGAAGCTTCAAAACTGATGGTGCAAAGCTCGTAGATGGATACCTTACTAAAATTGCGAAAGATCCTAATCTCCCTTTGTCAGCATTTGTTGGTCTAGCAGAGATGGTATCCAATTTTCCTCGACCCGGTCAAGCAACTAATGTCAAGATGCAATGTTACAATTTCACATACACTCAGAGAAGACACTCTCTTAATTGGTTGCAAGTTGCACTATATAACTAGTTCGATATCACAATAGAAATTACAAAAAATCACAGTTGCTAATTACACTATATAAACTAGTTAGATTAACCATTGTATTCACACAATTAAGATTTGAAAATGATTCCAGAGAAAAGTGTTACCTGATTCATCATCACTTCGTTGAACATCAGTACCACCAGCAGAACTATTCAAATCACAAGATTGATCATCATGTGCCTGGTCTTCAGAAGAGTTTTGATTATCCATCAACTGCTCAATATAAGGCTGGGTTGCAGAATGGTTTTGACCATCCATCAAATGCTCAATATAAGGTCGCACATCTTCATCGTCGTCTTGTTCAATTACCAGTCGGTTGCGACCTCTAGTTCGCATAGTTCCTTCTCCAAAATAAAAAAATTATCTTGCTGCATTACGCTATATTAGTACTAGATTGACTCCAACAAATCAGCAGGCCACTTGCAAAACATGAGGAAGCATCATCCAAATCTCAATATGTGAAAAATATCAATAACTCAGGTAACGCAAACAAAGACTTGCGACAAATATTGTTCTAGAGATAAGAGTTATTTATGCACTAGGAAAATAATTATCAAGTGATAGTACCACCTTATAATATCACATTTAAATGGATACAATAAGCAAAATATAAGTGGAAGAAATCACAATAAATTCACTTAAACATCCAATATTCAAATTTCTAAAGCAAAAAAATAACACCCTTAGAGTTTATTACATAACACTTGCAACAAAAATATTCTATAAGTACCACCTACCTTATTCAGAATCACATTCATTTTCTATGTTTTTTTCTCCCTCAACATTAGCTTCACCATCATTTGGAGAAGGTTGAGAATCTACGTTTGTATCAATTATTATCCCATCGACACCACTTCTTACCCAATCATTATACTCATCTTCTAAAACCCAAGCATTTTCTAAAAGAGCCAAGTCAGTGGCATCACTTTGCGTTGATGACTCAAACTGCACATATTTTCCTCTCCCATATTAAAAATGTCTCGAAGTTTAATTAACCTAGGGACAAACCATTCATGGTCTTGAGGATCTTGCACATATATTACTTGTTGAGCTTGTTCTGCAAAAATAAAGGGCTCATGACGTTGTCGATCGCCAGAGTCTGTCAGGTGTGTGAAATTCACAAGTGTGAAACCCAAGTCATCTTCCTTAATTCCTCTACCTTTGGTTACATCATCCCAATCACACTTAAATAAGATGACCTTAAATTTCTCATAGTAGTTTAACTCCATAATATCATATAATCTGCCATAATATGTGATATTCGCAAATTTTGGAACATTATCACTTGTACTTGCATAACTTTCAGTCTTTGAAACGACCATAACACCACTATTTTGTGTCACATTGAACTCTTCACTTTGTTTTGTTCGGAATCGATACCCATTATTAACATCGAACGCACTAAATCTTTTTGCAATGTAACTCGGTCCTTGTGCTAGGACTTTAACATCCTTTAAGATATTAGATGTGGCTTCCAACTCCTTTACCTAACCAAATAAAAGATGCAATTATAAATGTGGATATTTGTACAAGGATAATAATTTAATGTAAACAATAACTTAGTCCTACTACTTACTTGCTCCTTGAACCACTCATGAAATGTATCGAAATGCACACGATCAAGTTGATGTTGTGTCAAACGACGCTTACGATGTGCTCTTTTGATTTCAGCAATATGTTCCCTATACATGTAACTCGCATATATCAATTTTGTTATCAAATAAGATATATATATATTAAATAATAGATATAACACTTACTTTTTATAATTCTCAACCACTTCTGATTCACAATTGAAAAGCACATGCCGATGTGCTTGCAACCATGTTTTGTCATCCAACTCAAATACATCTACTCTACCGTACGACTCCCCAACAGTAGGAAAAAGAGATTCTTCTTTATTAGTCTCATGCTCAATTTCATCACTCCATTTTGTTGAACAATAAGACCTTGAATCTCCACCCTCTAAATATCGTGAGCAGAATGCCATACACTCATTTGCTATGTATGCTTCTGCTATTGAACCTTCTGGACATGCACGATTACGAACATATGATTTTAAAGTACCCAAATACCTATGGAACAAAGTAATGTTATTAGTTTGATATTAGAGTATTTAACAACTAAAGACATACAACAAAGATTCAGTGATATTCTACATACCTCTCAATTGGATACATCCAGCGATAATGTACTGGTCCCGCATGTTTAGCCTCAGTTGCCAAGTGAATAACCAAGTGTATCATAACAGCAAAGAATCCTGGGAGGAAGAGTTTCTCCATAGTAGACAATGTTTCTGGGATTTTTTCTTCAAGTAGGTTTAACTCTTCTAGTTTTAGCTCTTTGCTACACAAAACACAAAAGAATGTGCATAGTTCAATTAAAATTGAACTTACTCTTTTATCTACTGATCTCCGCAAGGCAAGAGGAAGAAGTTCTTGCATTATAACATGACAATCGTGAGTTTTTAGCCCAGATAACATTCGTTTGCGAACGCAACGTGAAATATTAGACGCATAGCCATCTGGAAACTTGGCATTTTGTAGTACTTCATAAAATAACTCCTTTTCTTGCTGAGACATTGTGAAAAAAGTAGCAGGAAGATATGCTCTCCCACTAGCTCGATATTGAGGCCATAAGCTTGGTCTTATTTTCATCTCCTTCAAGTCCAATCGAGCTTCTAAGTTGTCTTTAGACTTTTTACCAAGTTTCCATAGTGTATAAATTAAGTTATCGCACACATTCTTTTCTATGTGCATCACATCAAGATTATGGCGCACCAAGTTAAATTTCCAATAAGGAAGATCGAAAAAAATACTTCTCTTTTTCCATGTGTTTTTCATCACCCCACTTACCCTTCACTTGACTGGCCGAGAGTAAATTTTATATCTTTAACTTGATTCAGCACTACTGACCCAGATATTAGAGAAGGTGCAGGTCTTGTTTCTTTAGTCCCATCAAATGATTTCGCATCATTCCGATATTTGTATCCCGACTTCAAGAAGCGTCGATGCCCCATGTAAAAAAACTTTCTGCCATGTTTCAGCCTTCTAGATTGAGTGTTTATGTTACAAGAAGGGCATGCAAACCGACCATAAGTGCACCATCCAGAGAGAGTACCATATGCAGGAATGTCATTTATAGTCCACATGAGAGCTGCTCGCATTTGAAATATCTCCTTAGTAGAGGCATCGTATGTTTCTACCCCAACATCCCATAATTCATTTAACTCTTTTATTAGAGGTTGCAAAAATACATCGATATTATTGCTAGGCGCTTTGGGTCCAGGAATAAGAAAGGACAGAATGAAGAACTCTTGTTTCATGCACATCCATGGAGGAAGATTATATGGCATTAAAATTACTGGCCATGTACTATGAACAGTTCGCATTGTGCCAAATGGATGAACCAATCAGAAGCTAGTCCTAGACGCACATTGCGAGGGTCTCCAGCAAATTCGGGATATTTACTATCAAATTTTTTCCAAGCTTCAGAATCTACAGGATGTCGTAGAACTCCATCTTTGTTGCGCTCTTCATGATGCCAAGGCATTGCTTTAGAAGTTTCCGAAGACATAAACAGTCTTTGTAGCCTTAGTTTTATAGGAAAATACCTTAGGACCTTGGCTGGGATTTTTCTAGCATCTTTTTTCCATCTAGAAGCTCCACAAACATTGCATTTATTGACATTCTTATTAGCAAACTCTTCCTTAAAAGCATGCAATCATTGGGACAAGCATGAATTTTCTCATACTTTAAGCCCAAGCCTTCAACTATCTTTTTGGTCTCATAGAAAGAAGGAGGCAATTTTTCTCCTTCAGGAAGCGCATCCTTCAATAGTCCATGACGATTCATTTGACCATTTGAACATGCATTTTGTACGGTACAGATGCATCAAAAAGGACATTTTGCTAAATTTCTTACATCCTGGATATAGTTCTTCATTTGCCTCCTTCATGAGCCGTTCAAACTTATCCACCTCTGGATGCGGTTGATTTCAAGATGGATGAGCAGTATTCTCTTGTAAGTTATGCTCTATGCCACCTAATTCACTAACGTCAGTATCCATGAACTGTGTAACACCTGCAAATGCATCATGTATCATTCCTCTCATATCATCGCCCCTTTGAGTTGACTGACTGCGATTATTTGCTTCAGCATTGTTTGATCCCTTCAGAGACTCACCATGACAAAACCAAGTATCATAGGATGGTATAATACCATTAACCACAAGATGATCATATGCTGTAGCCCGATTTACTTGATGGATAAGCACACACTCCGTACAAGGACGTGCAATTTTTTCTCCATCTTGTTTTTCAGAAAAGGCATGATTTAAAAAATCCTCTACTCCATCCAAATATTCTTTACTAACTCTTTCACAATACATCCATCTTTTATTTGTAGGATTGTCCATGACGTTTAAGATATTCTTTTCTTTTCTATAATTACTGAAAGAGCTAAAAATGCGTTAAAAATGCGTTAGTAAAGTGGTGGAATTAATGAAAAATGTAGTTAAAATAAAATAACCATCCTATTATCATGTAATTCCATGGCTCAAAAATATCATTTTAACAATTAAAACTATTAAACGGAAATTTATTTAAAACAAATTGAACTATGTAAATGGTGTAATTTTTCAGCCAAGAGGTGTCAATTAACTCCCTCTGGAGAAAGATAGCTCCGCCCCTGAGTAGAAGCCTATTATGAAATACAATGTAGCATCAACCAGTCCAGCATATTATGAAATCTACCCTACCATGTGCAAATTCATTCCATTACAACTCAAAGATACCTGGTATATTTTTCCTGTTTGGTTAGTCTTATAAACTTTTTTGACTGATTGATTGATAATTGACTAAAATAATCAATGCTTTTCAAGTACAAACACTTTGGTATTAGCTATAGGAATTTTCTTGTATAAACCACAGACTTAATGAAGTGATTGAATCAGTTATCTTGAAATAATCTAAACCAAACAGACCTATATACTTTTCTGCGAACAAGCTAAAAAGGAGAGATCAAGAAGAGAGAAATTAACTATTTAGCATCCCTATTCAATTTGGTAGCTAAAACAATATTTAGCAGTAGCTCAAGAAAGGAAATCTAAGATGGAAAAAAAACTCAAAGAATTACCAGCCATGTCTTTGAACTCATAACAAAGAAACAAATGGACGATAGACAACAGTAACTAATCTCTAAATAACAAGAAATATCAGTGTATTGACTACGGAGGATTTGAAACCGATATGCATCGACAACAATGAAAATTTTTGAACAATGACAAGAATAGCAGAAAATATACAAAGGAACAAATGCAGTTGACTACTGTCATAGTAGAGGTGTATTCCACAGAGACGTCAAGGTAAGAAAATATAAAGATTTGACACCACAATGCATCGACGATAATAAAAATTACACACAACATCTCGACTAGTGGTAGATTCAATGCATCGACGACACTTAGAAATTTCTGAATAATCACAAGAATAGCAGAAAACAGAGGAACAAAATCAGAAAAACAGTCAAGGAACAGAGGAGGAATAAACCCAATCATCCTACGTCAATTTCATAGCAGTCGGATATCACAAACAACTGGCATATGCAGAAAAACTGAACTTTTGCAAATCTCAAATCCCAATAGTTGAAGGCACAAATTCGTACCTGGTAAGCAGATTGCTTTGCCAATAAATACAAGAAATTGAAGGAGAAGAATGAGTTCTGAAACAACAATCCAAAACTCAACTGTTAATCGCATCGGCTGGGTAAAAAGAGAAGATACCTCGGAAAGAATTGCAATTATCTGGGGAAAAGGCTGGCCGACGACCTATATATATGTGTGATTTTGATAACAGAGTCTCGTCCGTATCCAGTTCAATGAAGGAATATGTTTTCCTAATCTTCTGATTCGAGTCGAGGAAGGAATAGGTTTCGGATGATTTTCTGATTGGAGGGAATCTTCGATCTTGTCCTAAAAATATAGAGGGAAAGATGAATTATTTGGGCAGGGAGGGAAATTAAAAAAAATTAAGAAAAACCCTATGCGCGCTGAAAGTTTGCAGCATAAAAGGTTATTTTTAATTTCTAATGGCAATTAATTTTTATTGCCGATAAAAGGTTATTTTTTAGTGGCTAATGGTCATTTGCCGCATATATTTCAGCTTATAGAATATATTAGCGGTAATTGACTTATTGCCGCTAAATAATTGCCGCCAAATGCCCATTTTGTAGTAGTGAGAATTATGAGGGTCCAAAGTTCTGCCCCAGTTTAAGTGCATACTTGTGACAACACATTCCTTGGCTGTTCCAAACGTGATAAAATTGGACAAACTCGAGATCTTGCCCTAGTTTTTGATCATGGGGGAAATGAAGATTTTATTAGGATGTCCCCGAACCCACAGGGGTGCCTATGTATCCCCTCTTAAATGGGAATCAGGTCAAGCATAGTTTAGTTACATCAAATGGAAAATGCAAACAATCTTAAACATAGTATCTCTTGACTGCGTGCGAATTGATAGGTTTTGTCAAAATCTCTCCGTCCATTTCTGCAAGTATAAGTGCTCCTCCTGTTAGTACTCGATGAACCATGTAGGGACCTTGCCAGTTGGTGAGAACTTCCCCTTTGCTTCATCACGATGTGGGAAGATTCGCTTTAGCACCAATTGCCCCGATGTGAATTGCCTTGGTCTGACTGTTTTGTGAAAAGATTTTGCCGTTTTGTTCTGGTAAAGTTGACCGTGACATACCGCATTTATTCTCTTCCTATCAATGTTAGCTAGTTGTTCATACTGGCTCTGTTCCCATTTTGCATCACTGAGCACAGTTTCTAATATGATTCTTAAAGATAGGATTTCTACTTCGGCAGGAATAACCGCTTCAGTACCATAAACCAGTAGGTGGGAGTTTCCCCAATTGATGTACGAACTATGGTACGATATCCAAGCAAAGCAAATGGCAGCTTCTCGTGCCATTTTAGTAATTATCTACCATTTTCCTCAATATCTTCTTGATGTTCTTGTTGGTGGCTTCTACGGCTCCGTTCATTTGCGGCATGTACGTTGTGGGGTTCTTATGTTTGATCTTGAAGGTTTCACACATGGCCTTAATCAGATCACTGTTCAGATTGGCGGCGTTGTCAGTGATGATTGAATCTAGTACTCCGAACCGACAAAAAATGTGGTCCCTAACAAAATCTGGTACGACCTTCTTACTTACAGCTTTATAGGATGCGACTTCAACCCATTTTGTGAAGTAGTCTATGGCCACTAGATGAAGCTATGCCCATTTATAGCAGCGGGTTCGATCGGGCCGGTGACATCCATATGCCAAGCCGAGAAAGGCCAGGGCAAACTTGTTGCGTTGAGTTCATTGGGTTGTGCTCGTATCATGTCAGCATGTATCTAGCATTTGTGACACTTCTGAACATACTTGATGCAGTCTGTTTCCATAGTCATCCAGAAATACCCCGCTCTTAGTATCTTCTTGGCTAAGGTGATCCCATTCATGTGCGGTCCGCAGGTTCTGGCATGTATTTTCTCGAGCAATCTGAATGCCTCCTTGGCATCGACACATCATAATAATCCCAGGTCTGGAGTCCTTGCATACAGGATTCCCCCACTTTGAAAGAAATGGTTGGCTAATCTTTGAAGCGTGCACTTCTGAGTATGTTCTCTAGGTATTCTCCTTTTTCCATGTACTTTTTTATATCGTGGAACCACGGATTTCCATCTCTTCTTCAACATGTGTACAATAAGTTGGCTGCTTATGAATTCCTATTAGGATAGGATCGATAAAATTCTTGTCTGGATGTTGTATCATGAAAGACAAAGTGGCTGATGCATCTGCAAGCTCATTCTGAATCCTTGGAACATTTTTGAATTCTATCTTTGTGAACCTCTTGATAAAGCTCTTGTACAGAATACAAATATGGCAATATTTTGGTGTTCTAAGTAGCCCTTTTCTTCTAGAACCTGGTGTACCGAAAGACCGAAATCTCCAATTACCAGCAGCTCATGAACATTCATGTCAATAGCCAACTTGAGTCCTAGGATGCAAGCCTCATATTCTGCCATATTGTTGGTGCATGGAAACCTGAGCCTTGCGGAAACTGGATAGTGTTGGCCGGTTTCTCATACTAAGACATCTCCGATACCCACACCTTTGAAGTTTGCGGCTCTATCGAAGAACATTCTGCAACGATCATATTCCTAGGAGATATCTTCTCCTACAAATGATACCTTCTCATTGGGAAAATACATTTTAATGGTTCGTATTTTCGTCTAGGGGATTCTTCCAGATGATCTGCCAAAGCTTGCCCTTTGACTGCTTTCTGAGTTACGTAGACAATGTCGAACTC